ACCATGACTTCAATTGTACCCAGTGGCTCCTGTTCTCCATACAGTGAGGTGCCTCTCTGAGGGGGAAGAGGCATGTGCAAGGAAGTTCCACAGAAGCAGAGGCTACTGTCTTGTCTAACACTATTTCCCTATTACCCACCTAACCACTTGATATTTATCAAAACAACAGAAAAGAAAGAAACATGAAAAATACGTGCTGTGAGCAAAAGGAACACCAGGTAACTCTTAAGAGATGACAGTTAGACACATGAGGAGCCCATAAAGCCAGGGAGCTCACTATGTGCTATGACGGGCACTCCACTGCCAAGAATGAATGATCTACAATAACCAGAGCCCCGAGTTTCAGTTTCCTAGGCTTCTGGCATTCTCTCAGGCCCTTGCGAGCTACATAACATCTAATATTTTTCTTTAAATTGGCCCATATTTAAAAAATAGAAAATACACACTCTAAAGAATGATGGAGAAGCCCATGGTGCTCTTGAAAGATGAGCTGATACCACCCAGTGAAGGCAAGCTGTCTGTCTGCCTCCCTCAAAGTGGGCCCATCGCTTGCTCAGATTCCCTCTAAGTGGGTCACTGCTTGATGGAAGTGCACGCCTTCAGCATCCTGAAAGAAGGTATGGGAGTGTTGGGGAACTGAAGCCCATCACACTCCAGGAGGGCCTCTGACTTAAAGGAGGCTGAGGCAACTTCTCTCCTCACAGTAGTTCAGGTGTGGACTCCTCAGTGCCACCGAACTTCATCCTGGGGGTTCCTGTGGGCTTCATGACACACTTGAGAGGGAGGGCCTGACAGCCATGGTGTAGCTATACAGCATTTCCTAAGTTTAGAGAGAAGCCACTGAACCAAAGGAAACTTGAGAATGTCCAAACATCACTCCTCTTACTCATCTGTGCATTTCTTACTTCAAGAGAACATATTGGGGAGTAACATGCACAAGTCCCCGGGCAGGGGAAGAGTTGAAGAACAGCAGGAGAGAAGAAAAGAGGAAGGGAAGGAGAGGGGGGGACAGAAAAGGGTCATTTTTCACAGCACAAGTCTGAAAGGCGACTTTCTCTCCAGTACTTCAGCATTGGCCACAGTGGTTTGTGAGCTGGCTGTTTGAAGTCTTGGTGCTTCCAAGAAGCAGAGTAACCTCAGAGATGCGGATCTTTGGCCTCCGAACTCCACCACAAGCAGCGTATTTCTGCTTATGTATGCTTTAGTTGTTAAAGCTCAGAAGATATAGATCTCAAATTCCTAAGCAATGCAAAACCAAAGCCAAAAGAAAACAAAAGCTTGGTATCTTGAGTCCTGCTAGCTTTGCCAATTTTATCTCCTGCCGTTTTCTGTTCCATATAAGCTACTGGAAAAGCCCTGCAAGCACCTGGCTGTGCTACAGGTTGTACTCCCTTGATCTCTACTCCTTCTTGCAGACACGTCTTAGATCACATTTCCATAGTAAAAAGCCTTACACAAGCCACAGACTTGTACCAGACTCTGTTGGTCTGACCACCTCTGAGTATATCCTAAACCACACCTCAGGCCACTGTGTGCTCTTAGTTATCCTCACGCGCCCTCCCCCAGAGGCAGCTCTGTGGACAACAGGCTCTACATACACTTCCAAGGCTCCTGGGAGGGCAGTGGACCATGCAATAGACTCCCGATGAACATATCTGAATGTGTGAAGTCCAATGGTATGCTGTAGGGCACTTGGTGTGTAAGCAAGTGGTCATGTAGACATTACTTTGCCAAAGGAGTATTTGATACAAAGTGTTCCTGAAATACAGCTAAGAAAGAGTTTGTGAAACCTACTTTAAAGCCATATAATTGAGGAAAAAAAAGTATATGTGCCAAAGGCAACTCTCATTTGGATGGACTGTCTACAATACAGTTTCTCTGTAGTACCATCACATCTGATCTATGGCCATCCTCTGTAATAAGCCATTTCAACAGAGAAACTAACTTGGAGCCCAGAGACACACAGGACACTAAGAACCCTAAGAATTCCACAAAGCCTTTGGTTTCTTCTCCCTTAAAATCTACATGTACAAAAGCAATGCAAATATATATGTGTGTGTGTGTGTGTGTGTGTGTGTGTGTGTGTGTGTGTACACATCCGTAACAGGGAGGGAGCAAAGGAGGAAAAGAGAGAGGGAAATTGAAACTCTTGGGAATCTTGAATTTGAATTTTAGGCTTACATTTTACAGTCCTCTTTGAAAAGAACCTAATTCTTAATTTATTAAATTAAAACAGAACTCATTTAATTTTTGTTGAACATACAGCCATACTCAGGAAATTTTACACACCTAATAATGGGTGCAGTTATGAACACACATGCCAGAGTACAGACTTTGGTTGATGCAGGCTTTCAGAGAGGAATCCAAGATGAAAGGAAGATCTGATACATGCTCAATACTAATAATACAATTTAAGACATGGATTCCTTCCGTCCTTTCTTGACATGGAGTAACAG